TACTAGATTATTTATTCGAATTTTAAAATAAGGTTCTCTAGTAAGTTCCTCACTTACTTTTAAGATTTTTTTTGTTCTTACACCAAATGTTATCACACCTGAATATGACACTAAAATACTTCTCCTAAAAAAGGTTATGGAGAACCATTCTCTATAATGTGCTCTTTCTCTACATGTAGGACCTGGCACAAATTAAGTTTTGGGCACTGAACGTTACAGGGCAGAGAAAAATGATCTGGAAATGTAAAGAATGAAACCTTAATATATATTAGAAAGTAAAAGTCTTATTGAGATGTTCAACATAAAAATTGACTTCTCAATTGCCTTAGTCATATCTGCTATTTCATTCTCTTTTCTCTACAAATTTGTAATCAAATGTTACATATCGGATATGGGCTGAGTCAATTCTCACAAGAGAATGGACTTTGATTTCTTGGCTATTGTTTATTAATGAATGTATATGCTGAAGTTTCATTCAAGCCAGCACTTGTTAGAGAATAATATGCATTTTGAGTGTCCTGATAGACCCTTTGTTTCCATCATTTCACGTGTATACAAAGAGTAGATGCAGTCAACAAGAATGATAGTCACTTTTCATTTTAAGCAGAAGATAACTTGTGCAAAGGTGAGTAATCTCTATTTTGTTTAGAGAACAAAAAGTGTCTGAAGCGAATACTCTCCATCTATTCACATGAACTGAAATAAATGTTATCTTCAAATTTTTACTTATCTATAATATTGGATTCAAATAACAGCATTAAAATTAAGAGAAATGATCCTAGATGACTGAATTTTCAGTGATTTCTATATTAAAATGTCTCTGTAACCAAAGAAATAATTTGTACAATAACTTGTAGAAGTGCTGACATAAATTTACAACCCAATGAAATACTAGGAAACTGGTCAAAGGCCCATATCAATATCAATAACCTTCCACCAGACACAATGTGCATTTCTGTGGACACAATTATTTGCATCACTTTCATTTTTCTACCACTTTTATCTCTACAGAATTGAAAAATAGCCTAGTCAAAGATGAACAAAAAGTGGTAATAACCTAGATGGATGAGCTAGCCAGGATACCCACAAAATTGTAACTTCTGACAATTTTTCTTTACCTTCTCTACCCATCTAGCTCATTCTTCAGATATATTGTATGGAAAGGAAAAAGATGTAAGGGGAACTGTGGAGTTCTTACTTGACTGATACTGTTTTTAGTTTATGGCATGAACTTTAACCCACATAGGTATTTAAACGCTCTCTTGAGAGCACCTTTGGGAATTCTCCAGGGCCCTCAATTGCTCAGACATGTCAGAGCAATTTCTTTAATGGGATGATATATTATTCTCTGGATCATAACTTTCTCTTTGTTCCATCTCTAGACATCAGGAGATAACCCCAGCTTCTCTTTGTTGAGATTTGTTTACCATCGTGTCTCTTGAATAGGTCATGAGGCAACTCCTGGCATCTCTCTTACATATGGCCCACATCTGGTTACTCTGTTGCTTGCTTTAACAAATTTTGTGATTGCAATCCTCCCAATGAAACCACTTTAATTTCAGTGCTCGTATAAGTAGTTCGCAATCCAATTTCTCACCCTTTATGTTACTCAGGTGAGATTCAGACATATATGTGTCCACACTGCTGGAGTCACATGCCAATATCATAAAATACTCCTATTTAAGTCTTATTTAGATTGTATTTTGTAGGGGGGCTGGGGAGTGGGTGAGAGGAAGTGAGAGGTAGTGAGACTCACAGAATACCAATAACTCCCATGAAAATAAATGTCCATCAATCTTCACTCTCCTCTTCCTTGACTTTTGTAATATTTTTTATTAGCTGGAGGTGGGTGAGGTGGGTATCTTAGGGTTGCAAATCTGGTCTTCTGCTCTCTGCTTTGAAAGTCCTGAATATTAGTGTAACTTACAAATATATCTTCTGTAGTTTTAATGCTTTATGAAAACTGAGACTGGAAGAGTTCCACTTTCACATCTTAGTTTTCAGAAAAACTCATTACAGCTTTAATTTCCATGTTTTCATATGTACCTCATAGTCAAATAAAAGAAATCTGGACTGAGGTAAGGAGAGGCTTTATTCAAAAGGATTATTGTAATAAGGGAAGGAGGGTGCTATTTCAATATGGGGAGGGAACTATTGCAACGAGAGAATGCTCTGACCATAAAATCTGCAAGTTTCACATAGGGTCAGGCAGAGAAAAATTTCCTCTTACCACCAGGAGTAAATACAGCTAGAAAGAACTGGGTATGGGGAGCATGCTAAGAGGGTGAAGTGATCTGACATTTGAGCAGAAAATGCTCTCTGGAGCAGACAGTCTGTTAAGTGAGGGTAAATCCATATCAGATGTTGATGCTGGCTTAGGCTAAGAGACAGTTCAGGGGCTTGTGGGCAATAAAGGAGCTTAACTCAAGTTTGGTCAAGTTATGTTAGCAAGTACTTGGTCCAAGTGGTCACTGGGTACAAAGAAAGGGAATCTGCAGGGTCTATGTCTGGCCTTGTCATAGGCAAACATGAGGGGCATCTATGTATTTTATCTACTTTACATAGGAAAGGGTGGTTCTTTGTCATTAAGCTGTCTGGGGAACACAAAATGATGGGGAGATTTCTTCACATCCCTGTTTTCCAGAGCACAAGGTTCAAGAAATGTTTGACATTATTACCTAACATCATCTGTGTAATCTAATTTATTTCTGTTAATAAAATGTCCTTAAAGCAGTTTCTCCAGATGCATCCTCCAATAGAGAAACTAATGAGATTTTACTTTTTGAGAGTAACAAAAAAGAAGGCAGGATGCAATTTTGCGTGGATACTGGGAGAAAAATTGTCTTTGGCAGCTCTATTTCTGAAGAGGTACTAAGCTTCGGGCCCTTAAAATGAGGCCATGTAGCTGGAACCTTTATCACATTTTTGCTAAGAGTCCCTATGCGAATAATTCTAGGCGATTCTAAGCCTAGTAAAGAATATATTTGTGTTAAAGAAAACTAGAATGCCTCTATGTAAGAGGAAGCAAAGTCTATCCTATTAGTCTGAGCACTAGACTGGAAGATAGAACTCGAGTTTCTATTTACAGCTTCAGTGGAGATTTGCTAGAGTCCCTCAGGGCCTCCCCTGCCTCAGTCTCCATGTTTCTATGAGTTATTTGCAAAAACATTTCACAAACTCCTTAAGTAGTCATAGACACAGCAACAATCAGTGCTGAACTTTGCTTGTATATACACACAAGAAAACATCAATACATGATAGAGTTGTCAAAGACTAAATATATGTTTATTAAAACCTGCATGATATATTAGAATGAAATAAAACTTTAATTGAATGCTTACTATACACCAGGCTTTGTTCTAAGCTCTTTACATAGATTCTTTCATTTAATACTTGTAACAGCACTTTGAGGTTGATACCATTATTTACCTTGCTGTTACATATGATGTAACTAAAGGAAGGAGAGGTTAATTAACTGGCCCAAGGTCACATACTGGAGAAATGAGGTTTTGTTATCCTGGTGGCTTGACTTCAACAAGTTACTGTTGATAGGTAATCAAAATAAAGGGCCTAAGCAATTAGAGTCTCAATCAACTTTCTGTGTCAACAACTAGTCCATCTGATAGGAAATCTTTGGTAAGTAAAGGTTTTAGTTGTATCAATATATGGACAAAAAATATATGTATATGTTTATGTTTCTGTCTTAGATATGAAGGAGCCCACCTGCATGTTGAGCGTTTACAATTGAATGCCATCTGTATTTAAAAAATTTGCAGAATAAAAATCTGAATAGATGCACATCTTTAGTTATGAGAAATATCAATTATAATGTTATGGTGAGTAACATTATTTTACAAGCTGTTCTTTGGAGGGTTAATGAGGATAGCTTTAGCCTATAACTCCATCTCAAGATAATTCTAGAGTAAATGGGAACATTATGTGTTAATAGATTTATTTATCACAGCACTCTAAAGCCTGACAGACCATACAATACCACATTTTGCCTATTTGTCATAACTCAACCCCCCGTGCACTACAGAACCTGTGGCACCTGTGAGTTTATGAGATTATATTGAAATTTATCAATTAAATATTGCCTTTTATGGTAATTTATATACATGGCAGGTACATAATTAGGTAACTATCTCTCTTAGAAAATAAAACAATTGACTTCCCTTTTCTGGAAAGATCAAACAAAATTTGGAAGCTTGAATTTGTCCAGATAATCACTTGTTTCCAATCACGCAAATATGAGCTAAAATGAATCAAAGCCTGAAAAATAGAAAATGTGTTCCTGGAATTTATATCACCATCTTAGTCTATATAGCAGATCATTCTTGAGTTCTTCAAGCTGTTTCATGATTAAGAAATAATACTTTCTAAAAATTAAAAGTCACATTTTTCTCACAGCAGGCAGCAGCCTATAAATTCTGTAAGAGCTGGGTATCCCAGAGCAAAATTTGGCCCTAAAAGTGATCTAAGGAACTACAAAAAGTGAAAATGAATTTCCTCTGCTAGCCCATATGCTCAGCTTCCAGAATTTGTTTTCTGGTAGCTCAGAGCTGCCATGGTTGTTTGGGGGTTTTGAACTCCCTGTTCTCTCAGAGAGGGAAGGACCTGGCTGGATAAGCCATTAATACGTTTGACTTTATATGTCCTTTGTGATGGCCAGTGTGCCAAGATATCTTCAGAATGTAGAGTATTTAGTAAGTTTATCAACAAACAGGAAGAACATCTTCAGTTATATAGCTAAATCTAAATTTTAAAATGGAGAGTGGGGGAAGCATGCAATTAGAAAGTAACAGTGGGAGACATTTGTTCGTAACATAACACTAGAGTCAGGAAAAGATGTATTCATGCAGCTGAAGTTCTGTTAGAATCATCGAGAGATTAGCTGATTTACTGAGAGCCTCGGTAAACTATTTCAAAGAATTAGAATTTTAAAAAGGGAGTTTTTGATAAATTAACACATTTCACATTAAATGTCAGATAATTTTGAGGTTCATGGTTTATTTTTACTACATGTAGTCACCTAAATGTTTGCCAAGAAATACTTCATGGTCTCTATGAAAGTTATATACATGTATAAATTATTATTATTATGAATACTTATACATTTATAGTTTTCCTGTTCTTCACTTTATAATCAAGATATACCAGAAGGGGCTCAGGTTAAAATTAATTTAATTAAAAATTGATTAGACAATTGTCCTCTGGATCAGCAGTTTTCTTTTTTAAATTTTTTATTGAAGTATAGTTGACATACAATACTATATTAGATTCAGGTGTACAACATAGCATTTGGACGTTGATATACTTTATGAAACAATCACCACAACAAGTCTAGTGACTGTCACCACATGAAGTTATTACAGTATTTTTGACTGTATTCCCTATGCTGTACATTACATTCCTGTGACATTTATTTTATAGCTGGAAGTTTGTACCTCTTAATCGCCTTCACTCATTTTGCCCATCCCCAACTCCCTCCTTTCTGGTGGCCACCAATTTGTTCTTTGTATCTATGAGTTTGCTTCTGTTTTGTTTTGTTTGTTCCTTTGTTTGTTTGGTTTTTTTGTTCCACATATAAGTGAAATCATTTAGCATTTGTTTATCTCTATCTGAATTATTTCACTTAGCATAATACTGATGTCACAAATAGCAAGATTTCATTCCTTTTTATGGATGAGTAATGTTCCGTTGTGAATATATACCACATCTTTATCCATTCATCTATTGATGGAAACTTAGGTTGCTTCTATATCTTGGCTATTATAAATAATACTGCAATGAACGTAGGGGTGCATATAGCATTTCAAATTAGTGTTTTTGTTCAGGTTAATATCTAGAAGTGGAATTGTTGGATCATATGGTACTTCTATTTTTAGTTTTATGAGGAATCTCCACACTGTTTTCCATAGTGGTTGCACCAGTTTACATTCCCACCAACAGTGTATAAGAGTTCCCTTTTCTCCACATAGTCACCAACACTTGTTATTTCTTGTCTTTTTGACAATAGACATTCTGACAGGCGTGAGGTGGTATCTCATTGTGGTTTCAATTTGCATTTCCCTGTTGATTAGTGATGTTGGGCATCTTTGCATGTGTCTGTTGGCCATCTCTATGTCTTCTTTGGAAAAATGTCTATTCAAGTCCTCGGCCCATTTTTTAATTGGATTGTTTGTTTTTTTTGCTATTGAGTCATATGAGTGCTTTATATGATTTTGGTTATTAACCCCTTATCGAATATATCATTTGCAAACGTCTTCTCCTATTCAGTAGGTTGCTTTTTTGTTTTGTTGATGGTTTCCTTTACTGTATAAAAGCTTTTTAGTTTGATATAGTCCCATCTGTTTATTTTTGCTTTTGTTGCCTTTGCTTCAGAAGATAGATCCAAAAAGACATTATAAACACTAGTGTCAAAGAGGTGACTGCCTATATTTTCTCCTAGGAGTTTTATGGTTTCACGTCTTGCATTTATGTCTTTAATCCATCTTGAGTTTATTTTTGTATATGGTATAAGAAAGTGGTCCAGTTTCATTCTTTTGCATGTAGCTGTGCAGTTTTCCTAACACCATTTATTGAAGAGACTGTCTTTTCCTCATTGTGTATTCTTGCCTCCTTCATCATAGGTTAATTTACCATATAAGTGTGGGTTTATTTCTGGGCTCTCTATTCTGTTTCATTGATCTATGTGTCTATTCTGTTTCATTGATCTATGTGTCTATTCTGTTTCATTGATCTATGTGTCATTGATCTACGTGCCAGTACCATACAGTTTTGATTATTATAGTTTTGTAGTATAGTTTGAAATCAGGAAGCATATTACCTCCAGCTTTGTTCTTCTTTCTCAAGATTGCTTTGGTCATTTGGAATCTTTTGTGGTTCTATACAAATTCTAGGGTTATTTATTATAGTTTTGTGAAAAATGCTGTTGGTATTTTGATAGGGGTTGCATTGAATATGTAGATTGCACTCGGTATTATGGACATTTTAACAATATTCTTCCAATCCATGAGCACTCCATTTATTTGTGTCATCTTCAGTTTTTTTCATCAGTGTCTTATAGTTTTTGGAGTACAGGTATTTTATCTTCTTGGTTAAATTTATTCCTAGGTATCTTATTTTTTTGATGCAATTGTAAATGTAAATTGTGATTGTATCATATCAGCTGCAGATAGTGAGAGTTTTGCTTCTTCCTTTCCAGTTTGGATCCCTTTTATTTCTTTTTCTTGTCCAATTGTTGTTGCTAGGACTTCCAATACTATGTCAAATAAAAGTGGCAAGAGTGGGCATCCTTGTCTTCTTCCTGATCTTAGAGGAAAATCTTTCAGCTTTTCACTGTTGAGTAGGATGTTGCCTGTGGGCTTGTCATATATGACTTTTATTATGTTGAGGTATATTCCCTCTATACCCACTTTTTTGAGAGTTTTTATCACAAATAGGTGTTCAATTTTGTCAGATGCTTTTTCTGCATCTGTTGAGATCCTTCATTTTTTAATGTAGTGTATCATGTTGATTGATTTGTGGATGCAAACATATCTCACTTTATTGCATTTCACAGATACTGTGTTTTTTTCTAAATTGAAGATCTGTGGCAACCTTGTATCGAGCAAATCTGTCGGCACCATTTTTCCAAGAACATTTGCTCACTTTGTGTCTCTGTGTTACATTTTGGTATTTCTCTCAGTATTTCAAACTTTTTCATTATTATTATATTTCTTGATCTGTGATCAGTGATTTTTGATGTTACTGTTATAATTGTTTTGGGACGCCACAAACCCCACCCATAAAAGATGCCAAACTTAATTGTTCAATGCTTTGTGTGTTCTGTCTGCTCCACTGAGTGACCATTCCCCTCTCTCTTGTCCTCTTCTCAGGCTTCCCTATTCCTTGAGACACAAAAATATTGAAATTAGGCCAATTAATAACTCTACAATGGCCTCTAAGTGTTCAAGTGAAAGAAAGAGTCACACATCTTTCACTTTAAGTGAAAAGCTAGAAACGATTAAACTTAGTGAGGAAGACACGTCAAAAGCCAAGATAGGTTGAAATCTAGGCCTCTTGCACCAATTAGCCAAGTTGTGAATACAAAGGAAAAGTTCTTAAAAGAAATTAAAACTGCTACTCCAGTGAACATATGAATAAGAAAACAAAACAACTTAATTGCTGAAATGAAGGCAGTTTTAGTGGTCTAGATAGAAGATCAAACCAGCCACAATATTCTCTTAAGCCAAAACCTCGTCCAGAGCAATGACCTAACTCTCTTTAATTTTATGAAGGCTTAGAGAGGTGAGGAAGCTGCAAGAGAAAAATTCGAAGGTAGCGGAAGTTGGTCATGGAGTTTAAGGAAAGAAGCCTTCTCCATAACGTAAAAGTACAGGGTACAGCAGCAAGCGCTGATGTAGAAGCTGCAGCAAGTTATCCATAAGATCTAGCTAAGATAATTAATGAAAGTGGCTATGCTAAACAACAGATTTTCAATGTGAACAAAACAGCCTTATCTTGGAGGAAGATGCCATCTAAGACTTTCATTGCTAGAGAGGAGAAGTCAATGCCGGCTTCAAAGCTTCAAAGGACAGGCTGACTCTCTTTTTAGGGGCTAATGCAGCTGGTGACTTTAAGTTGAAGCCAATGAGCATTTACCATTCTGAAAATCCTAGGACCCTTAAGAATTATGCTAATTCTACTCTGCCTGTGCTCTACAAATGGAACAACAAAGCCTGTATGACAGCACATCTGTTTACAACACGTTTTACTGAATATTTTTAAGTCCACTATTGAGACCTGCTTAGAAAAAAATTCCTTTCAAAATATGACTGCTCATTGGCAGTGCACCTGGTTGCCCAAGAGCTCTGATGGAGATGTACAACAAGATTAATGTTGTTTTCATGCCTGCTAACACAACATCCATTCTGCAGCTCATGAATAAACAAGTACTTTTGACTTTCAAGTCTTATTATTTAAGAAATACATTTTGTAAGGCTATAGCTGCCATAGATAGTGATCTCTTTGATGGATCTAGGCAAAGTAAGTTGAAAACCTTCTGGAAAGAATTCACCATTCTATATGCCATTAAGAACATTTGTGATTCATGGGAAGAGGTCAAAATATCAATATTAACAGAAGTTTGGAAGAAGTTGATTCCAACCCGCCTGGATGAATTTGAGGGATTCAAGACTTCAGTGGAGGAAATAATTGCAGATGTGGTGGAAAGAGCAAGAGAATTAGAATTAGAAGTGGAGCCCGAAGATGTGACTGAATTGCTGTGATTTCACACTAAAATTTTAAGGAGGAGGAGTAGCTTCTTATGGATGAGCAAAGAAAGTGGTTTCTTGAGATGGAACCTACTCCTGGTGAAAATGCTGTGGAGATTGTTGAAATGACAACAAAGGATTTAGAATATTATATAAACTTAGTTGATAAAGCAGCAGCAGGGTTTGAGAGGATGAACTTGAATTTTGAAGGAATTTGTACTGTGGGTAAAATGCAATCAAGCAGCACTGAATCCTAGAGAGAAATTTTTTTGTGAAAGGAGGAGTATATCAATGTGGCAAACTTCATTGTTGTCTTATCTTAAGAAATTGCCGCAGCAGCTCCAAACTTCAGCAACCATCACCCCGATCAGTTAGCAGCCATGAACATTGAGGAAAAGCCCTCCATCAGCATAAAATTATGACTCACTGAAGATTTAGATGAAGGTTAGTATTTTTTAGCAATATAGTAGTTTTTAATTGTTATGTACATTGTTTTTTGGACATAATGCTATTGCACACTTGATAGACTACAGTATGGTGTAAACATAAATTTCAAAAATTTGTGTGACTCACTTTATTTTGATATTTCCTTTATTGTGGTGGTCTGAAATTAAACCCACATATCTCAATATGCCTGTATTGAACCATACTTGCATCCCTGGGATAAATCTCAGTTGATCATGGTGTATGATTCTTTGAAATGTTTCATTGAGTTTGGTTTGATAATATTTTGTTGAGCTTTTCTGCAACTATGTTCATCAGGAATATTGGCTCTGTAATTTTCCTTTTTGTAGTGTCTTTGTCTGCTTTTGTTACCAGGGTAATTCTGGGCTCATAGAATGAGTTTGGAATGTTCCTTCCTCTTCAATTTTTCAGAATGGTTTGAGAAGGATAGGTATAAATCTTTAACTGTTTGGTAGAATTCACCTGTGAAGCCCTCTGGTCCTGGACTTTTGCTTGTTGGCAGTTTTCTGATTACTGATTCAATTTTATTTCTACTAATTGATCTGTTTAGATCTTCTATTTCTTCCTGATTCAGTCTTGAAAGATTGTATGTTTCTAATAATTTATTCATTTCATCTAGGTTGTCCAATTTGTTGGCATATAATTGTTGATAGTAGTCTCTTATCCTTTGTATTTCTGTGGTATCAGATGTAACATCCCTCTTTTATTTCTGAATTGATTTATTTGAGCCCTCTCTCTTTTCTTCTTGATGGGTCTGGCTAAAGGTTTGTCAATTTCGTTTATCTTTTCAAAGAACCAGCTCTTATTTTTATTGATCCTTTCTATTGATTTTTTAGTCTCTATTTCATTTATTTCCACTTTGATTTTTATTATTTTCTTCCTTCTACTAACTTTGGGCTTTGTTCTTTTTCTAGTTCAAGGTGTAAATTTAGATGGTTTATTTGAGATTTTTCCTATTTCTTGAGATAGGTCTGTATCACTATAAACTTCCCCTTAGAGGTGGTTTTGCTGCATCCCACAGATTTTGGAAATTTGTGTTTCCATTTTCATTTGTCTCAAGATATTTTTTTATTTCTTCTTTGATTTTCTTTGTTGACCCATTGGTTATTTAGTAGCATGTTGTATAACCTCCACATGTTTCTAGTTTTTCCAATTTTCTTCTTGTAATTGTTTTCTAGTTTCATACAGTTGTGGTCAGAAAAGATGCTTAATATGAATTCAGTCTTCTTACATTTGAGACTTTTTTGTCATGTAACATATGGTCTATCTTGGAGAATGTTCCATGTGCACTTGAAAAGAATGTGTATTCTGCTGTTTTGTGGTGGAATGTTCTGTATATACTTATTAAGTCTATTTGGTCTAATGTATCATTTAAGGCCCATGTTTTCTTATTGATTTTCTGTCTAGATGGTTTATCTGTTGATGTAGTGGGGTATTAAAGTTCCCTACTATTATTGTATTACTGTCAATTTCTCCCATTACATCTATTAATATTTGCTTTATGTATTTAGGTGTCCTATGCCAGGTATGTAGATATTTACAGGTGTTATATCCTCTTATTGGATTGATCCCTTTATGATTATATAATGCCCTTCTTTGTCTCTTTTTACAGTTTTTGTTTTAAAGTCTATTTTGTCTGATACAAGTATTGCTACCCCAGCTTTCTATTTTCATTTGCATGGAATATCTTTTTCCATCCCTTACTTTCAGTCTGTGTGTGTCTTTACATCTGAAGTGAGTCTCTTGTAGGTAGCGTATAGATGGGTCTTGTTTTTTCATCCATTTAGCCACCTTATGTCTTTTTTTGGAATGATTAGTCTATTTACATTGAAAGTAATTATAGATAGGTATGTACTTATTGATATCACATTAATTGTTTTCTGGTTGTTTTTGTAGTTCTTTCCTCTCTTGTTCTCTTTCCTTGTGATTTGATGACTTTCTTTAGTGTTATGTTTGTGTTCATTTCTCTTTATTTTTTGTGTATCTATAATAGGGTTTTGTTTTTTGGTTACTGTGAAGTTCATATATAACGATCTATGTATATAGCAGTCTATTTTAAGTTGGTGGTTGCTTAAGTTTGAGTGTATTTGGAAAGCACTACGTTTTCCCCCTGCCCACGTTTTATGTTTTTGATGTCACATTTTACATCTTTTTATTTTGTTTGTCCCTTAACTAATTTTTGTAGATACAGATGATTTTACTACTTTTGTCTTTTACCCTTAAAACTGGCTATATAAGTGGTTGATCCACTACCTTTACTATGTATTTGCCATTATCAGTGAGATTTTTTCTTTCATAATTTTCTTTTTTCGAGTTATGGCCTTTTTTTCCCATTTAAAGGAGTCCCTTTATCATTTCTTGTAAGGCTGGCTTAGTGGTAATGAACTCCTTTAGCTGTTGCTTGTCTGGGAAACTCTTTATTTCTCCTTCAATTCTTTATGATAACGTTAATGGGTAGAGTATTCTTGGTTGTAAGTTTTTTCCTTTCAGCACTTTGAATATATTGTGCCACTCCCTTCTCGCCTGTAAAGTTTCTGTTGAAAAATCAGCTGAGATTCTTATGGAAGTTCCCTTTTATGTAACTAGTTGTTTTTCTCTTGCTGCTTTTAAGATTCTCTCTTTATCTTTAACTTTCGACATTTTAATTATAATGTGTCTTGGTGTGAGTCTCTTTGGATTCATGTTATTTGGGACTCTGTGCTTCCTGGACTTGGATGTTTCTTTCCTTCATCAGGTTGGGGATGTTTTCAGCCATTATTTCTTCAAAAGTTTTTCTATCTCTTTCTTTTTCTCTTCTCCTTGTAGGACCCCTATAATGCAAATGTTAGTATCCTTAATGTTGTTCCCAGAGGTCCCTTAAGCTATCTTTGTTTTTATTTATTTACTTTTTGCTGTTCTGATTGGGTGATTTCCACTACCATGTCTTCCAGATCATTAATCTGTTCTTCTGCATCATCTAATCTGCTTTTGAGTCCCACTAGTGTATTTTTCATTTCAATTATCATATTCTTAAGCTCTGATTGTTTCTTTTTTTATATATTTTATCTATTTGTTGAAGTTCTCACTGTTTTCATCCATTCTTCTCTTGAGTTTAGTGAGCATCTTTATAACCATTACTTTGAACTCTTTATCTGGTAGATTGCTTATCTCCATTTCATTTAGTTCTTTTTCTGAAGTTTTGTCTTGTTCTTTTGTTTGGAACATATTCCTTTGTTTCCTCATTTTGCCTAACTCTCTGTGTTTGTTTCTATGTGTTAGATAGATCAGCTACATCTTCCAGCCTCAAAGGGGTAGCTTTATGTAGAAGGTATCCTGTGGGGCCTAGTAGTGCAATCCCATTGGTCACCAGAGCCAGGTGCTCCAGGTGTGTCCCCTGTGTAAGCTGCATGTGCCCTCCTATTGTGCCTGAGCCATGATTGCTGCAGGTGCACTGGTGTGCTGGGCTGGCCCCCTGGGGAAGGACCTTTTTGGAGGGGCTCTGGTGCTGGCCAGGGTCACTTGCCTGATGGGGCAAGCTAGGACCAAGTTTGAATGAATGCCATCTAGGGTGGGTCTGCAGGGGAATGACAGGGAAGGGCAAGCATTACTAGAAAGGTAGACGGAGAGTGTCAGAAATGACATCTGCCAGGGCCGGGCCAGCTAGGTAGAAAAAGATCAAAAAAACAAATGGCACCTACCAGCACTACTGTCCCCAGAGAAATTCCAACAGATCCCTGCCCCTCTGGCATGTGCCCTAAAATTAGTCAATGAATCTCCCTCACATATAACCCAAGCACTTCTCAAGCTGCTGCCTCTGTGCCCGGACTCATGCAAGTGAGTTTGTGTGTGTGCTCTTTAAGAGCATATTCTTTGTTTTTTATAGCCTTCCTGCTCTCTCACTGGTAAGCCACACTGGTTTTCAAAGCCAGATGTTATAGGGTCTCATCTTCCCAGTGCAGGTCCTCTGGGCTAGAGACGCTGATGTGTGGCTGGGAGGATCTCCACTGTTGTGATATCCCTCCTGCTTGTGGGTTGCTTCAGTGGGAGTGTGCGTCCTGACTAGACCACATCTACACTCCCCCTACTTGTATTGACATGGCTTTTTCTTTATATCCTTCATTGTGGAGAATCTGTTCTGTTAGTGTTCAGGTGGTTCTCAGCAACAGTTGTTCTATACGTAGTTGTAGTTTTGATGTGTCCATGGGAGGAGGTGAGCTAAGGATCTTCCTACTCTGCCATGTTGATCCAGATTCTGGATCAGCAATTCTTAATACGTCCATCAAAGATTCCAATTGCTAACTGTTCCTATATGTATTGGGGCTTCAGATCCATCTTATCTATATTGTATTTATTTCTGTAAGTTAAATTCCTACTCTTGTTATAAGGTACAGAGCAGATGCCCATCCTCCATGTCTTCTTTACTTGTTCCAGTTACTTATTTTCTGGGTCCCTAAAGCACTGTGTTCTTTTATTTCTTTAACCACATATTGTTTTTAAGTTTTTGTTTGTATTCCAAAAAATATTTGAATGTGATTTTATACAGCACAGAATGCAGTCTTCCTGTCATAATAGAAGCAAGATTTAAATTAGACAGAAGCCATCTGCCAATTTTGCCACATTTTCTTAGTAGTCTCCTTTGCTTTAAACTCCAAGAAAAAATCTAGGAATTCATTATTTTTTCTGACACACATATGCATTACATGGAAGCTATCATTTTATGGTGCTCCAAGTTCTTTCCTT